AGCCAAGGTCGGACGTTTAACTGACTGAGCCACCCAGGTGCCCCTCATGGTTTGTGAGTTCAAGCCCTACGACGGGCTCTGTGCTGCCAGTGTAGACCTTGCTTGGGATTTTCTCTCTCCCTCTCTCTCTGTCCTCCCCTGCTCATGTTCTCTCTCTCTCTCTCTCTCAAAATAAAAATAAATACATACATGCATACATACATAAATATTCACTCGCCTGATGGTTTTGCTCCCGAGGGCAGTTGTTGTGCTTGCATTGTTTAGGAATGAGTTTTACAAAAACATTAATTAAAAATTAAGACTGGTGTCATTGATATAATTCAGGCACTTTTAAAACCGTAAAAAGATTTCATCCTTATTAGGAATTCCCTTCCATTTGCTCCAACCAAGATTTTTTTTATGATTAATTGACTGACAATAACTGACTGGATAATTATTAGGGATGAATTTTTTTCAAAAGATTAAAGAACTGCAGAGTTGATTTCAAACTCCTGCTTCAGTGATCTCTGTCATGTATTTGCCACACAAAGATAAACAGACACTTTCACTTCCATTGTGAAGTCATAATGAAACTGGGGCAGAAACCCAGGCAAGATACCAAAACCATCACCAAAACGTCCCTAGGTGTCCTATTTCAATCAAGTCCAAGGTGATATCGAAAAAAAAAATGTAATGTAAATAGTTGATGGTAGGGCCACCCCTACCAGATACTGGCCCTTTGTGTGATTTAAAATAAAACACCTGTTCAGGCTTATGAAATGCAGAGAAGTGTCCCCTCTGGGTGAACAACTTATTAAAAAGTCACTCCTTCCTCCTGGCTCTCCAGCCTGTAAAGAAGCACAAGACTCGGTAACTGAAGTGCAAATCACATTTCAGCACTACTCACACCTTTCACCTGAGACCTTTGCACAGAGCGTAACTTTCACGTCAGTATATGGTGTTCCTAGTTGTAGGAGTCTGACGATTGTGACTGAAGCGGTTTTCTGTTCTTTGATGTGACCTTTTATATTTGTCAAAAGACATCAAAATTCCTGAGTGGTGCCTCAACCATCTCTGTAATCTAGGCATTGATGAGAGCTTCCAAAACAGAAAGGCCCAAAGAAAGAATATATTCTGGACACCTTTTCTATATGTATTATTCATTCATTTTTATCACCCGAGGAGATTTGCCTGGAAACTTTGGCACTGGTGCTCTTGCCATTTTAACTGAGGTTCTAAGGTCACTTGCTTGTGCCATCTGCCTGGTGGTTTTACAATAGTCAAATCATTCATGCACTATCCATTAGAAATATCTGATACTGAATTACTTGTCTAAAGTAATTCACCCAGGGGTGCCTGAGTGGCTCAGTTGGTTAAACGTCTGACTTGGCTCAGGTCATGACCTCACAGCTCGTGGGATCAAGCCCTGCATTGGGCTCTGTGCTGGCAGCTCAGAGCCTGGAGCCTGCTTCTGATTCTGTGTCTCCCTCTCTCTCTGCCCCACTCCCACTCATGCTCTGAAAAATAAATAAATAAACATTAGAAATAAAAGTTCCTAGAAACTTCTCATTGGGAAAAAAAAAAACAAAAACAAACTGTTGATTCTTCCTGACACTGAAATTACTGCTGTATAATTACTTCTTGTTTTACTTCCAATGTTACAGTGAAGAAAGACTGGAAGAAAGGAACTCTTTGGCTAGTTATATTAGGTAGATAGGATCTATTATGTACACCAGAGACCCAAGGATCGTTGCTGGAGTTTTTGTTATTCTTTGTTGAGGTGGTAGTTACATAGGAAAGGTGAACAAGGAGGAAAGTGTAAAAAGAGAAAGGAGGTAAAAAAATGGCTTTGGAATCCTTTCTTAATAAAAACCCTTGAGAAAATCAGGATAGAAGGAACATACTTAAACATCATAAAAGCCATTTATGAAAAGCCCACAGCTAATATCATCCTCAACGGGGAAAAACTGAGAGCTTTCCCTCTGAGATCAGGAACACAACAGGGATGTCC